TCGGGTAATCAGTCTTTAGTTACCTGACTTATCTCCGTGAGGGAAGAACCTTCATTTTTTAATTTTTTTCCCGGTTTTGTCATTCGTATGTGAGCTGCTGTTATCTGAAAGCAGAACCTTTCCTTTTTTTTCCACCTGGTTCTGTCTCTCTTGGGTAGCCAGTTCTGTCTGGGCTGTTGTTATCTGAAGGCAGAACCTTTCCTTTTTTTTCCACCTGGCTCTGCCTCTCTTAGGTAGTCAGTCCTATTTGGGCCGTTGTTATCTGAAGGCAGAACCTTTCCTTTTTTTTCACCTGGTTCTGTCTCTCTTGGGTAGTCAGTCCTATTTGGGCTGTTGTTATCTGAAGGCAGAACCTTTCCCTTTTTTTTCACCTGGTTCTGTCTCTCTTGGGTAGTCAGTCCTATTTGGGCTGTTGTTATCTGAAGGCAGAACCTTTCCTTTTTTTCACCTGGTTCTGTCTCTCTTGGGTAGTCAGTCCTATTTGGGCTGTTGTTATCTGAAGGCAGAACCTTTCCCTTTTTTTCACCTGGTTCTGTCTCTCTTGGGTAGTCAGTCCTATTTGGGCTGTTGTTATCTGAAGGCAGAACCTTTCCTTTTTTTCACCTGGTTCTGTCTCTCTTGGGTAGTCAGTCCTATTTGGGCTGTTGTTATCTGAAGGCAGAACCTTTCCTTTTTTTCACCTGGTTCTGTCTCTCTTGGGTAGTCAGTCCTATTTGGGCTGTTGTTATCTGAAGGCAGGACCTTTCCTTTTTTTTTACCTGGTTCTGTCTCTCTTGGGTAGTCAGTCCTATTTGGGCTGTTGTTATCTGAAGGCAGAACCTTTCCTTTTTTTTCACCTGGTTCTGTCTCTCTTGGGTAGTCAGTCCTATATTTGGACTGTTGTTATCTGAAGGCAAAATCTTTCCTTTTTTTTTATTTGGTTCTGTCTCTCTTTGGGAGTTGTTTCATTTTAGACTGTGCGTTTTCATCTTATGACAAACTAATTTTGAATTGCGACATAATTAAATTTACTTGTCTTGATTTTTTTCCTTTGCAGATTTAATTGAACGTTAACCGCGAAAAGTCGTGATGAAAAAGCAATGTTTGTTTTAATAAAAAAGATGGTTTTCCTGTTGAGATGACCAACCAACCTTAACTTAATTACACATCATAAGTGCACGTTCCGTTGACTGGTAATTTTTACGTCGATGTTGTGTTTGCCTTGGTGATGTTTGTCCTCAAATCCCGTGATGTTTCAATTAAAAATAAATAACGAATTTAGGAATAAAATTACCAACGAGTAAAATACCTCTTCTCGTAACGTATTAAATTGCATTTACATTTCCAACTCTTGCTTCAGACAAGAGATGTAAAATCGGTCATAGATTGCAAAAGAGATTTGTGAGTAAAAAATCCGTTATATGTTTCTTTAAAGGCCAATATTATCGGTAAAAACCCACACAAACAAGCAAAATGAGTTCTGTTGCGCTGTGTGATCCATGAGTGTTCTCATCGCGGTTAGGGCTTGCTGTTGTTTGCGGTATTATTTTCCGGAGTGGACATACCATTACTACATTTTTGTTAGCGTTTAAAAATCGGAAATACATGGTTTTGGTAAAAAACTTCATCTTTTTCAACTCTTAACGACTGTCGAGTTGTGTGTATCAATAAAGTGGGTCAGCAAATTTGCATTCTATGTTGCGCAAGGGGCAAGAGAAAATGGTTGACTCCCCGCGAGTGAAGCTGACACTCTAGGTCGATGTCGATCCATTATTATCCTTTGTAAACAAAATTTCGATCATGGAGTTAAATTATAAAATTTCTTTGGCTTACATTGTGCGCTTTAAAGTAAACTTGAGTTGTTAGTTCCACGCGTGGGTTTAACCTTAAAAAATGCAATCACGCGAGTAAAGCTGACATTAACGCGTGTCCCTATCTGAAAAACATTCGTATTGTGACAAGAAGGGTCTACTTTAGGGTTTTGGGTTACTCTCGCCACGCAATTTGGAAGCCGAAAAGTGCCAAAAAAGTAATTACTGAAAATTTATCCGCAACACCTCGGTCGTTCTGTGGGCGCGAAGTCAGTTCTTCTCTTACAGTTAATAATTGCCAGGCGGATCTCAGATCCGCCTCAGCCTCATTTGCATAAATTCTTTTGGTGAGCAAAGCTCGTCATGGTCTCTGTAAAAAATGTTATGTGGGAGAATATTGTGAAAAGGGTAATGACCCTATCATTAGTCCTTCTCTTAAAAATATGTTGTCGTGAAAAATTCAAATTGTTCTGCTAAAGTTATTGTTAAATCTTTATGCCTCTGAAGTTCCTCTTGCACCCTTTGGATGGCGGGAAGGGATCCATGCAATTTGATTCCGTCTCGGAAAAGAGAGAACTGTTTTTTCTCCCTTCTTTTTTGTTTCTTAAAAAATATGCAATATGCTTAGTCAAGAACTTTGTTATACCTGAACACACACTGACAAAAGAAGGAAATGACGTTAATATTTAAATCCATAGCATTGAATAAAAAAGGAAACTTTGGTAATAGGAATCTATCGTTGGCCATGGAAATCAATAAAATCAGAACTAAGATTATTAAAGACAGTTTTGTCAGATACTTTAAGCGGTTTAAGATGGTGAACACTTCCTTTTTGCTTTTCAGTAAAAGTAACATCTTGCAAGGAACATTATGACGTCTTTATGTAAGTATCTTTCTAAAAATGTTTCTTGGTTCTAAGCAGCAACAACATTATCAAGCCATTGCAAATAACCCAAAGGAGGAGTGGGAGGGGTTAGTTCCTTCTAATTTGCTAACAGGAAGCTCGAAGCGGTCGCATTTTTACGACTGGGTCGACTATGATAGGATTGCATTTTCAATAGAGTTATTAGAATAGGGTCGCACATTTTCGGGATTTTGGAGTAAGAAAATCCTTGTTAGTAGGTATTTCGAAATAGGAAGATTGAGACGTACAAAAATATTTGTGCGGTAGGTGAAGAGTAAAGTGTTCTGCATTAAGTTTACCAAATGTATCAATTTATTTTAAGGATGATATACTTAAAAGACTTCGTAAGGTAGATACATAAACACAAAGTGACTAAGTTTGGATCGCGAAAACTACGTTTTCCCAAAAGTAACTAAATTGAGGTCTATAGACTGACCACGGAATAGATTTAGACCAGAAAAACTGTTCAGCAACTCATCATATATGTTATATATAATATTAAACTAGATTAATTGCAATTTCCAAATATGCATAGTAGTGTTACTTCACCCGTGCTACCGAAAGGTCATTTTTGAGATTCCTGGCCCATGACTAAGAGATAATGCAGTCAGCTCTTCTATGCTCTTGCTATCCCTCTAGAGTAAGGCCTAGTTTATTTTTGTTAGAAAAAAATATTATCGAATAAGTTGCAAAGCCATACGAAAAGTAGTAAGGAATAGTGACCCGGTACGAAGTTATTCATTAGGAGAAATTTAGCCGAATCCTAGGCCTAGTCTTCCTCACGCAGGGAAATTCTGAAGAGAAAGCCTGATCGTCCTTCGATCGAGGAGATTGGGCGAGGAGAAGATTTACGAACAAAAATTAAATTCATAACATGTTACTAGTCATTATTTATGCTGGGACTACATCGAGTCATGATTCAAAGCGTACATGTATAGCAGTTAACTGTATCTGTTTTATATGTTAAGTGGTTTTCTTTGTCCTTGGTCACCAGGTCTAATGTCAGCCAACTAGTTACCCTGTATCTTGGCTCAGAGCCAACCTCCGTTTTCTGTCACATGGGAGATTTTGGATGTGGATTTGGAGGATAGACGCCGGTCATGAAGATTAACGGCACCGAGGTGCCATAGTTTTTCTGTTGGTTTTTTTTTGTTCGGTTTTTGTTGTTTAATTCCTTCTGTATATATGTGTGTGCTTTTGTTGAGATTCACGAAGCCGTAATGCCTCCAAGACCTCGTAACCCACTGAAATAAGTGGCTTTATTTAATGACTATAAATGTTAAAGAAGTGCGTGGGAAAATTTACAAAATAAGTGATAAATGATGACGATGACGATGACGATGACGATAACGATAACGATGACGACGACAACTACAATGACAACGATGACGATGACAATAAAGATGATGATAATAATGGCGATAACGATGACGATGACGATAACGATGATGATGATGATGATGACGATAGTAACTACGTTAAAAAAGGGAATCGCTCTCTTCGCGGAATGATTAGGAATTAGAGCGCTTTTTGATTGAGTCTTGTAGAACCATAACCAAAGCTATCATAACGGCGGATCAGGAAAAAAAAAAAGAAATTATGAGCAGACAAAGTGACCTCGGAGTTGTCAAGTAAACTGCGCATGCCTTAGGCGCTGGGAAACGCGAGTGACCAATTTCAACTCGGAATTAGTCTGAGTTAATTAGCATTTGAAGCGGATTACTCACGACACTCAATTAAGGACAATTAAAGCTTGGTCTGATTAGTAACGATGAGATGGAGATTAGCACGGTGAACGTGCCTGTTCCCTTGTACAGTTTAATTGAAGTGAGTTAAGGGCGATTTGGTCTGAAATCACACCTATGATGTTAGATGATGCACTTGGTATCATCCGTTTCGACATCACACAACTAAATCACCTAATAATAGGATTCGGGTCATAAAAAGTTAGTGCAATATGTAAATACCTCAATTAGAATACTCAAATCTGAATTGAGTCTGATTCCCAGAGAAAGAGATGAAGGCAATTTAGAGCGAAAAAAATGTGATTTGTAAATATTTCGCTCTGCTGAGAGGAAATGAAACTAGAAACAGCACCAGTGATATCGAAATGAATTTAATAAACTGAGATTTAGGATCGATTTGCAAAATGTTTTCACAGAGGAGCTGAACCACTGTTTCATTACTCTTTTTCAGCCCACCTTTCATTTTAACTCGCATTATTGGAAGGATTACGAAGTATACAACCTTCCCGGAGGGGAGACTGGGTTTGACGAACTGGAACCTTCTCCAAGATCTGTCTCGGTATGAAGATTGGAAATCAGCTCAACTTTATCGTGATTAACAAGAAGGCTGACTCTTTGTATACATTGATTGCTGATGGGCAATACCGCTCAACCTCACTGGGTCGTGACACATGGAAAGAGTTGATTGGTTCACAGGCCTCTTTGCAGCTTCATTGCAACAGGGAAGGTTTTAATGTTGTTTGTAACCGCAACCAATATTCAAAAGCTAGAATTGGTATTATTGGCGACCTCTTCTACCGAGCCCGCCGTTGCTTATTTTGCACATCACGGATTGGATTTGGTACAGGCGGTTTACCTGATTACGACAGTTCGTGTGGTAACGAAGCACGGCTGCAATCAGATAATGAAGAGAAACGTATAAGGGCCATGGGATACATTTTGGTAGAATAGCAAAACGCGGATGCAGAAAGAGTTTAATCATTAAGAGACGGAGGACTCTTGTAATTTCGAGCCCAAGATATCTGTACCTTTAGGAAACGTTCCTGGGTATGGGGCGCGGACTCATTTTTGAGTGTCACCGTAGATTTAGGCTGGGAAAACTCTCAGACAATTCTTGCTGATCTCCATTGTTTTTTCTAAGAACATCAGCAAATCAGCAAATCAGCATTCAAACATTATGTTACTTAAACATATTAAATATCTTAAAGAAATATTTCAGCCACAATTACCACTTGTGTTTTTTTTAGCCTTCTCAAAGTTTAACATGCACCACTCACGGGCTGGGGAAAAGAAGGCTGTGGACCTTTCTCTCTTGTCTTGAGAGTCAATTTGACTGATGTAATCTTTAATGAGAATTTGTATGGATAACACTGGGGATGCAATGTAGCTTGAATAAATACGAAGAGGTATTCAATAAACTAAGTTAAGATCGCTTGCTCCAGCTATGTTACATTTTTTTCTAGTGGAATTTACAACCAGACACAGTTCAGGATTAATGTTCGGATGATCAGCTCAGAATGAGAAGTCCAGTCTGTCTTTATCTACGTCTGACTAATTTTCTACAGTTGCCTTCATCTTTAAGCCATCTCCACATTACTGAGTCAACCTTCTAATCACCTACATCTTAAGCCTCAACACCCTTTAACCATTTTACATATTTTCCAGTGTTCACTCTACATTTCCTAAGCCGCTGACAAGGAGAATGTGTTGCACAATCAGGAGCTTCTTTAGTCGGTGGTCATTTCCTTTATTCTCATAACCTTAATGCGTGATGCGGGGGTGATATTGTCATAAGTAATTTGATACTGCTCACTCCTAACGGTCAAAGGAATGAACCTATAAAACTGCCCCGCTTATTGCCAGACTCCTTTAGACGGCCAGCATTTTAAGTCATTCGGCCCGCGTTCTCTTTATCTCTTTATTTAGTTAAATATTTCCTTCAAACCGCTCTCTTCTCATGATGCGATTTTGTTAGGTTCGCAGCTGGTGAGAATGCTATTTCCTGGCCGTCATCAGTTGGCTACAACTTAATTAATGATGGCCCTCCACCCCACTCTCTACCAAGCACAAAGAAACAACATGTCAACTGTGTTACACCACTGCGCAACAGAAAGGTTTACTCCAGTTCACTCAAATTGATAATTATTTTATTTTAGTTTGGATTTGTTTATATGAAGTCCATACACTTCCACAAACTTAAGGTCCACTACAGTTTTCGGTGGCTGTTTCGGGGGAAGGGGAACGAGAGAACAAAACCCTTTGCCCCAATCCTCTGAAAAAATAGGGGTGTCTTCAGACGTAACTAGTAGTTATATTTGCTGGGACGGATCCAGAAAATTTCCTAACTAACATCACTGTGGCGAGAGCGTGAGCCCCCTACTCTTCCACCCATCTTTGTGAACATACTCTCCTGATAATGCAGCACAGCACACCGCTGGATAATGTTCAATTCCAGTGTTCCTCGTTACTACATAGAAGAACGCCTGTTACATTTGAAGTTTAGCGCGAATTTTTTTCAGGTTATCCACTAAGGAGCTTTAAAATTGTCAGGGTTGATCATATATATATATATATATATATGTATATCTATCAACACGAAATATATCAGAAATGAGGAAAACTTGACAAAATAAAATAAGCAAACAAATAAACAAAACTAAAATCCTAAACGAACTCACACGAAAAAGAAATAAAAACAGTTTCAGTGCATAACAACACACAAAATAAGGCTGGGTGGGTAGGCCGAGGCCCCCTCCTCTCACCACTAAATCCCGCTTCGACTGTGAAACTACTTGTCATCACAATTACAGCCATTTTATTCTCTGCATTAATTTTTATTTACGAAACTGAAAAACCTCTTTGGACGAGAGCTACCACTTCTCCTGTTCACCTTAATTGCTGACTCGGCATTCGTTTCCTTCTTCATTAAAACGAATTCACTTTTTGTCGTGATGGATATTAGAGATGAGTAACGAAAAAATTCTGACAAACTATAACCAGGAATTTAACTTCAATAGATGGTTTGCACAATTTATTGAATACACTTTGAATTCCATATGTGACCGAAGGTCTACAGATCAGCTGAAATAAATATACGAATATAAATTTTTCAATGTCTATCATTTCATAATTTTCTAGTTTAATGCCCATTTTTCAATGAAAAAATACTTGTACAAAATTTGCCTATTTTTTAATAACTTTTCCCTATATTGATCGAAACGATTTTCTAGAATTTCGAGCCAAACATGATACGTTATGTTTCCTTGGTTGTTATGTCTAATTGTTTGGTAATTTCCATCATTTCCTTTGCTTTGCCATTTTCTAAGGAAGGGGAGGGGGTCAAAACAATCAGTCGAAAACTCTCCTCATTCCCCATGGCATGGGTCACAGCATCACCAACCAAATCGTCCGGTTGGGCGTTATCTGTTTGATTCTGCCCCGTGTTTTCGTTGTACAGCGGTTCGGCGCTCCGTGGCAGCCCTCTGCTTCTCGTACTGTGTCAAAAACTTGCAACATATCTCCACCATTTTGCTTTGACCTGATTTCTCCGCCACATCGGCGATTTCTCGAATGGCGTCCACACGATTACCTTGGACAGCGATTAGGTAGGCGGATTTCAGCTTGCCGCACATGATGAAAGCGCTTATCTTAAGGAAAGAAAAAACGAAAAAATGATAAATGGAGAAAGACTTATAAACAAAGGTTATTTCGAATGGAGCGCAATTCGACTGAGGGTCGTATAACGAAATCAAAGTAATCACAATCACCAATCAGATGAAAGGAGAATATAACAAAGAGCCAATTAGAACTCAAAATAAAAACAAGAAATTGTCTGAATCCGATTGTTTGAGAAAGTGGTTCAATTCTTCTGACCAATCACGGAGCAATGGAAAACCAAACATAATTCTCGTAATACTTCCGACACTCGATTGAAAATGGCAACCCCGAAATCTGTAAGAGTGCTGTTACCAAATGCTCACAAATTCTTCCTACGACTTGTGAACGACAGAGTGAGGATAAATTCAACCCTGATCATCTTAAACTTTATATGGGTTACATGTGGTTTCAAAAGGATGAAAGAGCCCTCAGCCTTGTCAGCCGCTTTATTAACCAAACCAGATACTAGTAGTGGGAAATAAAACTATCTGCAACGTTAAAATCCCCTTTATCATCTTACTCATTTTTTGTTATACATTTATATCCTCGAGCGAGTTACATCATCCCGGGTACCTCCGCACCCTTCCCCCCACCGACGTAGCTCCACAGTTTCTTTGGTAACGTATCCTCTATATTCATCATACAATAACCCGCACTAACGCAACAGCACAGTTTCTTTAGTAACGTATCCCCTATATTCATCATGGAATAACCCGCACCCACGCAGCAGCACAGTTTCTTTAGAGCCCTACCCCCTTTATCTTCCCATCTTGGCCAGTAATAATTAAAATCCCACATGGTTTCTCAATGATAATTTCTTTATTCCAAACTGGCCTTAATTAACTTCTTTACTCTTAGGGAGAATACTGTTTTACCTTGTTGATGTCGGTCTTTAAATGTTTTATCAGTCCTTCCAGGTACTTTGCCTGCGAAGAAAGGTTACGATTTTATTAGAAAGGACACTCGCATATTTACAAACGAACATTAAAATAGACAAACACAATCAGTGAACATATCCTCGATAAAACAGAGCCCACCTGACTTTGGTCAGCAGCCACGATGCTGACGCATGCCAAAATGATGTCGTCGTGGCATTTGTCTGTTACTTGTCCAGTCTCTCCTGAGAAATGCAGAAGTTCCTCAATGAGTGAATACTTGTATTGTCGAGCCAGCGAGCGGCCAGTGTCTACGTAAACACGAGCCGCCGGAAGGTTATAATCCTGAGAGGTAAGACACACGATAATCAAGTCTTCAGACTACAAAAAAACCCTTACTGGGAAATTATTAATTTAGGGATTGCATTAACTTTGGTTTAGCTCACTATGAGTGGTTTAGAAAACTCCCGCCATCCTGCACACTCCTCAGATGAAAAATGGAACAAATCCGGACGTATTCACCCACACTTTAATGCACTTCGGGCAGTTTGCTTGTTTTTCCTTTGATTTCTTAATGATTCTTTGAGAAATTTTCCTCTTTGCATCGACCGACATAATAACTATGGTCTTGGTTTTACGACATTCAACCGAAATATGCTTTGTTGACAGTGATCTTACGTTTGTTTCAAAATGAGACGAGGGAAAAACTGAAAGTGAAGGTACGTAAAAAACGACCGAAATGATTGTGTATTAAGACAAAGTTCGACACCATCCAAGATTCACCAGACTTTCTATTAATAACAACGACAACAGAATTCAGAAACAAACCTGAATTATCCGACTCGCCAAACTAAAACCATCTTGAATTGATGTTCCAGCAAGAAGAACCTAGACGATAATAAACAAAGTACGATAGAGAAACTTCACAAGCTACTGATGCACTTGAAAAATCATATAAATACTTGACTTCAGATAAGAAAAAAAAAATACAAAAAACCCTACTGACATTACACCAAACCTAAGTGAATTCTGTGTGTAATTATACTAAAGTGTAAATACGGAAACCTCATCACGAGAAATATAAGGGGTAGTTTCCCAACAAAACTTTGGTGCTTCGTCACACACAAGGTATTACAACTAAGATAATTTAGTTTTATCAACGAAGTTGATAATTTAACTTAGCCATAGTGGAGAGTTTCTAACGCGACGTCTCGAGCGTTTGCTGTTCATCAGAGTGAATTACGTCGAAAAGTCAGCTTAAAAAACTCTTTACGGTGGCAAATTTATATCATCAACTCTGTTGATGGAACCAAATTATCTAGTACAAGAAATAGTTAAAAGTGTAAACTTTTCTTGATGTAAGGTGTACAATAGACGTTTTGGCGAATAAACGTAGGGTCAGGTAAACACAATGGACTC